AACACAGCAGCTACTAGTACCAACACAGCAGCTACTAGTACCAACACAGCAGCTACTAGTACCAACACAGCAGCTACTAGTACCAACACAGCAGCTACTAGTACCAACACAGCAGCTACTAGTACCAACACAGCAGCTACTAGTACCAACACAGCAGCTACTAGTACCAACACAGCAGCTACTAGTACCAACACAGCAGCTACTAGTACCACACAGCAGCTACTAGTACCAACACAGCAGCTACTAGTACCAACACAGCAGCTACAGTACCAACACAGCAGCTACTAGTACCACACAGCAGCTACTAGTACCACACAGCAGCTACTAGTACCAACACAGCAGCTACTAGTACCACACAGCAGCTACTAGTACCACCACAGCAGCTACTAGTACCACACAGCAGCTACTAGTACCAACACAGCAGCTACTAGTACCAACACAGCAGCTACTAGTACCAACACAGCAGCTACTAGTACCACACAGCAGCTACTAGTACCACCACAGCAGCTACTAGTACCACACAGCAGCTACTAGTACCAACACACAGCTACAGCACCAACACAGCAGCTACTGTACCACACAGCAGCTACTAGTACCAACACAGCAGCTACTAGTACCAACACAGCAGCTACTAGTACCAACACAGCAGCTACTAGTACCAACACAGCAGCTACTAGTACCACACAGCAGCTACTAGTACCAACACAGCAGCTACTAGTACCACACAGCAGCTACTAGTACCACCACACAGCAGCTACTAGTACCACACAGCAGCTACTAGTACCAACACAGCAGCTACAGTACCACACAGCAGGTGTGTACCACCACCACTAACAGTACCACACAGCAGGTGTGTACCACCACCACTAACAGTACCACACAGCAGGTGTGTACCACCACCACCACTAACAGTACCAATGATGGCACCTCCCGGGGCAGTGACAGTGTAGACAGTACGTGTAGCACCCAGAGACACTCATGATGGCACCTCCCGGGGCAGTGACAGGGGCATACATAGACGAGATAAAACACCTAAATTATTGGGATCGACTCAAAGCTCTCCAAATGTACTCACTAGAAAGGAGACGAGAGAGATACCAAATAATATACACCTGGAAGATACTGGAGGGTCAGGTCCCTAATCTGCACAGTAAAATAACAACGTACTGGAGTCAACATGATAAAAATACAGAATAGAACCAGTGAAGAGCAGAAGTGCCATAGACACAATCAGAGAACACTGTATAAACATCAGAGGTCCGCGGTTGTTCAACGTCCTCCCAGCGAGCATAAGAAATATTGCCGGAACAACCGTGGACATCTTCAAGAGGAAACTAGATACTTTTCTTCAAGGAGTGCCGGACCAACCGGGCTGTGGTGGGTATGTGGGCCTGCGGGCCGCTCCAAGCAACAGCCTGGTGGACCAAACTCTCACAAGTCAAGCCTGGCCTCGGGCCGGGCTTGCGGAGTAGAAGAACTCCCAGAACCCCATCAAGCTGGTATCAACCAGGTACAAGGCCTGACAGTCACAGACCACACCAGGTCTGACAGTCACAGACCACACCAGGTCTGACAGTCACAGACCACACCAGGCCTGACAGTCACAGACCACACCAGGTCTGACAGTCACAGACCACACCAGGCCTGACAGTCACAGACCACACCAGGTCTGACAGTCACAGACCACACCAGGCCTGACAGTCACAGACCACACCAGGTCTGACAGTCACAGACCACACCAGGCTTGACAGTCAGCGACCACACCAGGTATGACAGTCACAGACCACACCAGGCTTGACAGTCAGCGACCACACCAGGTATGACAGTCACAGACCACACCAGGTCTGACAGTCACAGACCACACCAGGCCTGACAGTCACAGACCACACCAGGCCTGACAGTCACAGACCACACCAGGCCTGACAGTCACAGACCACACCAGGCCTGACAGTCACAGACCACACCAGGTCTGACAGTCAGCGACCACACCAGGTCTGACAGTCACAGACCACACCAGGTCTGACAGTCACAGACCACACCAGGTCTGACAATCACAGACCACACCAGGTCTGACAATCACAGACCACACCAGGTCTGACAGTCACAGACCACACCAGGTCTGACAGTCACAGACCACACCAGGTCTGACAGTCACAGACCACACCAGGTCTGACAGTCACAGACCACACCAGGCCTGACAGTCCAATACAACTTGATCTATAAGACTGGCTGTATCCTGTATTTCCTACAATATCTCACACTACAGGATATTGTTATTTTACAGCACCAATTTTGGAGGTTGTCCTCCAATATCTCCCATGTATATATCATGGGGGACGCCTCTCTCGTCTCCTCCTCACACAGTACATTTAGAGTGATTTAAAGTAGTTTAGGTGTTTTTGGTAATCCATGCAGCGTATGTCCCCTGTATTCCTTCGATTTTAGACCTCTCTTCTGCCTTGAAAGGGCGAATATGGAGCTGGATACACAAGTGGTTTAAAAAGTAGGAGCCGTGTGGGAGGAATCACCCAATTGGAAGGTCCTCATACATTGTTTCATGTTCCTTGTTAATGGCGTTTGTTTCCTTATGTTGAGTTAATGTTTGGTGGTCCAGAAGCAATATTCCTAGACGCTTTCCATGTAGTTTTCCTTCTCTGAGAACTGATGAGGTAACGTGTCCTCCATTCCGTGTCTGGTGTGTTACCGTATGTGAGTGAGTCTTGTAGTGTCATCTTCCGAGGTAACTTTCACGTTTATTTTGACGTCATCTGCCAAGGGTGACAGGAAGCTGTGACATACAGCACGGTGAGGAGGAGAGAGCATTGATGCGCTCCCACCAGCACCTCACCACAACCTTCATTGTCTTCCCACTTGATTGCTGCCGTATAGTCGTAATGGCTTAGTGCTTCCTCCTGTCTCCGTAAACAGTCGTAACCTTCTTGGTTACTGTTTATGGCCCCACTGACCCGGGTGTTCCTCTGGTCCTTATGGCCTATCACTTTATACTGATATTTATCAAATTTATTGCTCAGTCTGTGCATGCAACATATGCATTTGAGCGATCTTGTAATGTTTATCTAGAATAACGGGGAATGTATGTGTGTTAGCATTGTTAACCCACTACAATCACCTGTGGTGAAGTGCTCAATAACCCACTGCACAACATGTGCAGGAACAGGTCTCTAACCCTGACCATGGAGGACAGACCAAAATGTATATATATATACACTGTATGACCTCGTCTGTGGTAGAACAAATATTCTTCCGTTATTTTGTGCCAGCGGTCGAGTATAGTGAACAGTTACCAAAGGCCTTGTTTATGAGCTCTGAGTGGCTGTTACTGTGGGTGGGTGTCCACGACCCCAGGTGGGAGGGGGGTCTCCACGACCTCCAGGTGGGAGGGGGTTTCCACGACCCCCAGGTGGGAGGGGGTCTCCACGACCCCAGGTGGGAGGGGTCTCCACGACCCCCAGGTGGGAGGGGGGTCTCCACGACCCCCAGGAGGGAGGGGTCTCCACGACCTCCAGGTGGGAGGGGTCTCCACGACCCCCAGGTGGAAGGGGTCTCCACGACCCCCAGGTGGGAGGGGTCTCCACGACCCCAGGTGAGAGGGTCTCCAAGCTGCGGCCAATGTTTTCCTGTTGCTTGTAAATTCGTTATGTTGTCATTGCTATTAATTGCGTTTGTTATTTAGTCCTGCACCTACGGGTGGACCGGCTTCCTTCAAGACCACGCAGAAGGAAGAGTAATAATTAGTTATACTATTATTATTATTATTATTATTATTGATGTAATTATTAGTTATCACTCTTCCGTCTGCTTGGTCATGAAGGAAGCCGACCTCGGGTGAAAGAGGGCTGTGACGATCTCTGTCTGGAACCCGTAGGTGCGGGACCGGGCCGTCCACCTCCTGGGGCTCGTGCAGCCCCCCAGGCTCTGCTTCAGGAGGCTGGGGGGGGGGGGTGTTCTTGCCCTTGATGGGGTGGTTCTTCTCCGGCCCCGACCACGGCGGTCTCCGGGTCTGGAGTCCCTGTGCCTTCTTTTACCAACTTGGAGGTCCACTCCGGAGCTGGAGCCCCTGGGACAGTTCGTTGTTGCCTTTAGCCTCGTGCTGACAGTCGACGACGCTGGAACCAATCGTATTGGCGTTTGCCTTTCCATTGGATACTTTCGGCGCCGTGGAGAGGGGGGGGGGTGAGACCTGCTGCATGGGTGACAGCTTCTACTCCATACCGATCTACTCTTTCTTGCGCCCTGGTGAGGCCACTCCAGACCAACAACCAGAGCGCTGCTCCATAGTCTCCTGACACTGATGGATGCCTCCTACTATTTTGCACGAGCGCTTCATTAATTAAGTCTTGGAAAATAGGTTATCTTGGTTACATGATAATTATTTGTAAACGGTAAAATACTGCGGTCTTAGATAACAGTTATTTAATACATTTGTGTTGACGGAATTGTCATTGTTGTGGCAACAACAATATATTCTGTATGTTTTGTTTTAGAGCAAATAAATATAATTTAACAAATCTACAGTCTGCAGTTTGATATTTATGAACTAGAGACCTAACTACATTGTCTGACAGTGGCTTCGTGAAGTGCGCCTTTCCCTGAGTGGACGAATTCTGTGTTGACGACAACACAGTGTGCTCTGAGGCGTCCCTCGTCTGTCCAAAGGATAGGAGACAGACTAAGAGTGTTAATTATTAAAATTCAAGCCTTAACATCATGTTGTGCCACAGAGCACCGTCTCCTCCGATTTGACCCTATTGGGAAGTGGACCAAAGACTGCGAACTGAACCCTGAAGTTAGGTGAATATATGGGCTAATATGGCAACCGTAACCTCGATATTATGGTACCGGATAAATTATTTATAAACAAATTTATAAGTTAAAAGTTTGGCATAACGAAGGTGTAAAATATAATAGTATTGTAATTGTTTTATGATAATTTACCTTCACAAGTTTGTATTATAACCGAGTTTTCTTGATTTCCAGGAGACGATGCCTGGGCGTAGGTGTTGGGGGGCGCGCCCCCGCCTCCTGCAGTGACTCCGCCGCCACCCCAGCCATGGCCCCTCCTCCCCGTAACGCCTCCATCCGCCGCCGCCGCCGCTGGCACGGCCTGCCGCAGCTGGTGGCGGTGACAGCCTTCACACTAGTCTTCGTGGGGTCCGCCATCTTGCTGCAAGATGCGCCCTCCAGCCAGCGGGCGTCACCGCGAGCCTTGCGCTCACTCGGCTCCGTCAGGGCGTCGCGGACGCTCCTGCAGACGTCCACCACAGAGTTAACTGAATATGACGTAGAGACGTCAACGACGTTTCTTAACGAAACGACGCTAGAGAAGGTGGCCGACCCGCTCTTCCCGCCAGATATATTCACTCTTCAGCAGCGGAGGGAAGGCGCCATAGTGCTTCACGTCATAGGAATGATATATATGTTTGTGGCTCTTGCTCTCGTGTGCGACGAGTTCTTCGTCCCCGCCCTTGACGTCATCATCGAAAAGCTTCAAATATCCGAGGACGTGGCCGGCGCCACCTTCATGGCCGCCGGCGGGTCGGCGCCCGAGCTCTTCACCTCCGTCATCGGCGTCTTCATCAGCTTCGACGACGTGGGCATCGGTACTATCGTCGGGTCGGCTGTCTTTAACATTCTGTTTGTGATCGGCATGTGTGTGTTGTTCTCCAAGACTGTGTTGGACCTGACTTGGTGGCCGCTGTTCCGCGATGTGACTTTCTACAGCACGGCACTGCTGCTGCTGGTGTCCTTCTTCAGTGATAACAAAGTGTACTGGTACGAAGCCCTCATCCTCTTCCTCATGTACATCGCCTACTGCCTCTTCATGAAGTTCAACTCTGGCGTGGAACACTTCGTGAAGAAGCACCTCAACAGGAACAAGGTGACGCGAGTGTGCTCCACGGACCAGCTGGTACCCAACGTGAGTACACATTCCCCCCCTCACCGTACCGTGTACCGTGCTCTCACACCTCCTCTCTTCCTCTCACACATAACTCCTCCCTTAATGCTCCTAAACCCATACATTTTGGCTTGGATCCAACATGCTAACTTACCACTTAAACCACTCGCTTTGGGTGCCACGTTTGAGGTGAATTTCCATGGATGAATGCTCGGAAAAACTTTTATCTCTCTCCCTTGCAACATGATCAAAACGTTCACACATTCAACACACAAAACACTCATTGCTAAACTAATACTTTTCCTGTAAACACTTTGATTTCTTATTTCATTAATTAACAACAACCACTAAACTTTCAGTAGAGTTTCCTGGGAAGAATTTCCTGGCAGAGGAAAATAGTTGTGTAATTTGTGTGGTTGTCACCAGCGGTGTTGCCATCATGGCGTCAGTCTGGGTGTTGCCATTATCGGGTCAGTCTGAGTGTTGCCATCATCGGGTCAGTCTGAGTGTTGCCATCATTGGGTCAGTCTGAGTGTTGCCATCATGGCGTCAGTCTGGGTGTTGCCATTATCGGGTCAGTCTGAGTGTTGCCATCATCGGGTCAGTCTGAGTGTTGCCATCATTGGGTCAGTCTGAGTGTTGCCATCATGGCGTCAGTCTGGGTGTTGCCATTATCGGGTCAGTCTGAGTGTTGCCATCATGGCGTCAGTCTGGGTGTTGCCATCATGGCGTCAGTCTGATTGTTGCCATCATGGCGTCAGTCTGAGTGTTGCCATCATGGCGTCAGTCTGGGTGTTGCCATTATCGGGTCAGTCTGAGTGTTGCCATCATCGGGTCAGTCTGAGTGTTGCCATCATGGCGTCAGTCTGGGTGTTGCCATCATCGGGTCAGTCTGAGTGTTGCCATCATGGCGTCAGTCTGGGTGTTGCCATTATCGGGTCAGTCTGAGTGTTGCCATCATCGGGCCAGTCTGAGTGTTGCCATCATGGCGTCAGTCTGGGTGTTGCCATCATGGCGTCAGTCTGGGTGTTGCCATCATCGGGTCAGTCTCAATGTTGCCATCATTGGGTCAGTCTGAGTGTTGCCATCATGGCGTCAGTCTGGGTGTTGCCATCATGGCGTCAGTCTGAGTGTTGCCATCATGGGGTCAGTCTGAGTGTTGCCATCATCGGGTCAGTCTGAGTGTTGCCATCATCGGGTCAGTCTGAGTGTTGCCATCATCGGGTCAGTCTGAGTGTTGCCATCATGGCGTCAGTCTGGGTGTTGCCATCATGGCGTCAGTCTGAGTGTTGCCATCATGGCGTCAGTCTGAGTGTTGCCATCATGGCGTCAGTCTGAGTTGCCATCATGGCGTCAGTCTGAGTGTTGCCATCATGGCGTCAGTCTGGGTGTTGCCATCATTGGGTCAGTCTGAGTGTTGCCATCATCGGGTCAGTCTGAGTGTTGCCATCATGGGGTCAGTCAGAGTGTTGCCATCATGGCGTCAGTCTGGGTGTTGCCATCATGGCGTCAGTCAGAGTGTTGCCATCATCGGGTCAGTCTGAGTGTTGCCATCATGGGGTCAGTCAGAGTGTTGCCATCAT